GAAAAATTATGAAGGAAACATTAGGACACAAAGACTGGCTGAAGTAATAGTTTTATAGTTCGTGCATTGAAGTCGATGTTTGTAATATAGAAGTTCAGAGTATTTCTGCGCATATCTGTCAGTTGACCGATTTTTTCGCGTGTTACCGGAAATCAGATTAATGACTGGACGAAAATGATTACAATAATTAAACTGTGAGCGGGATCATTTCAAATATTTCCTTGTTTTGGATATTCCAGAGAGTCAAGTTTAGTAGGTTTGAATCATACGAGAAGAGCTTACTTCCATCACAAGTGGTTTGTTTGTATTTGTCATACAAGGAAACAGATCTGCGGATTTGATAAAAATAAAGTTTATCAATTGATTTAATACATGTTGAATCATCTATTTCTTCTCCTACGTATTGCTATGAACGGGAGTGTTCTCATTGTTGAAATGTCTAAGCTGAACAATCTACTTTAAACATAAATCAAACATCTAGTTTCCCCTCTCCCAAAACACCTGCATTGTATTCATTTATTAATGCAAGGGTGATATCAATATTGCCAAGACTAAGATGCCCAGTGTTTGTTCATCTATATGTTGACGAGATAGAAATATCTATGTCGATGTGTCGAGAAACACGATCTTAGCATTTAATGCGGCGTTGTTATAACTGCGACCTTACAACTTCTTGATGGATAAAATCTTGGTAAGAATGAACAGACTTTTCATTTAGAGCATTAAAAAGTGTCGAATTTTAATCGCTATTACTTTATCCATGTGAATGCCTTAATTAATAAAGCATAATTAGTTTTGGAGTTTGTCTACTGACACTCGAGTATATTCAATCCTATGTTGGAAGTAACATTTCTATACCTACAGTCAAACTTGCCTTTCAAAACCACTTGTCTATCCTTATCTGAAATGTGAGTTTGTGTGTGTGATATAAATTATAAAGCTTCTTGAAGTCTGTTAAACATTTAGCTCACCTGGACGAAGATAGGTTTATGCCGTACCCTTGCGACTGTCTACTAGGACGAAGGTAAGTTTAGGCTGTACCGTTGTGTTCGTCTATATATTAGGACAAAGGTAAGTGTATGCCGTGCCGTTGCGTCTGTCTACAATTTCTTCAAACGGTATCAATTGGATTTCTTATTGAAGAATTCAAAATCAATTTGATTGATCTTGGCTGTCGAAGTCAGATCGTCTCGATGTTCGACTACGACGGTCGTCAAACATCCTTACAATTGCACAAGAAAACAAACGGCGTACGACAGCACTGCGGAACTTCCGTAGAACTGTCTTGGATTTAACTACGCGTTGAAAATCCTATGATCCTAAGAGAATCTCGGAACGAACGAAAATCGTAGATTTATCGCAAAACTGTAGTGGGGGACCTGACGTCCAGAATTACAAAACATTGTTCAAAACTCCAAGACAGTATTTATCGTCACAAAAAATACATTAAATTCGTTCAACACAAACTTTCTTTCGTTGACCTATTGTGCACTGCATGTGAGAGGGCATTACTTAGGATGAAGCGGTACAAAGAATATCATCTAGTAGGGGTATATAGAAACACTTTGGAAACTTCGTCAAAATGTTTTCAGAAATTCTCAACTGATAGCTAAACAATTGCATTTATTATTTTACTTTTGACGCCATGCTGTGACGCGGACCAAGAGATGTGGGTCAATGAAAATGCTGAGTCCCTTATTTATAGTTGAGGTGACTTCGCGCACAAAGTTATCCCCTTGACCCAACAATGATCCAAACGAAATAAGGATAAAATCCCTGTATTCCTACAGTAGAAGAAGGATTTTAAAGGTTTTGCCTCTATTTCCCCTCTTCGGTCCCACCTCTCTGACCCCAGGGGGGTCACACCCAGCGTTTATACAATATTGGGTCCTCTTGACCCAAAGATGCTCCAGACGAAATAAAGATAAAATCCCTTCATTCCTATACTGTAGTAGAAGGATTTTAAAGGTTTTACCTCTATATCTCCTATTGGGCCCACCTCTCTGCCCCCAGTGGGGCACACCCACCGTTTATACCAAATTGCGTCCCCTTGGCCCAAGGATGCTCGAGACCAAATTAGGTTGAACTCCCTTAATCCCTATGGTAGAAGAAGGATTTTAAAGGTTTACCTCTATTTCCCCTATTGGGCCCAACCCTTCTGCCCCAAGGGGGCCACACCCACGGTTTATTCACTATTGAGTCCCCTTCGCCCAAGGATACTCCAGACCAAATAAGGATAAAATCCCTTTATTCCTACAGTAGAAGAAGGATTTTAAATGTTTTACCTCTATTTTTCCTATTAGGCCCCACCTCTCTGCCACCAGGGAGGCCACACCCACCGTTTATACAAAATTGAGTCCCCTTGGCCTAAGAATGTTCCAGACCAAATTTAGTCCAAATCTACTAAGCTGTTCAGGATAAGTAACGTTTTAAAGGAAAAGTTAACGGAAGGACTGACGACGGACGATGCGCCATGGGATAAGCACACTTGCCCTTCAGGCAGGTGAGCTAATAAAATCCTTTAATCCCTACGGTGGAAGAAGGATTTTAAAGGGTTTTCCTCTATTTTCCCCTCTTCGGTCCCCACTCTCTGCCCCCAGGGGGTCACAACCAGCGTTTATACAATATTGGGTCCTCTTAACCCAAAGATGCTCCAGACGAAATAAGGATAAAATCCCTTTATTCCTACAGTAGAAGAAGGATTTAAATGTTTTACCTCTATTTTTCCTATTGGGCTCCACCTCTCTGCCACCAGGGAGGCCACACCCACCGTTTATACGAAATTGAGTCCCCTTGGCCTAAGGATGTTCCAGACCAAATTTAGTCCAAATCTACTGGGCCGTTCAGAACAAGTAACGTTTTAAAGGAAAAGTTAACGGAAGGACTGACGATGGACACTGCGCTATGGCATAAGCACACTTGCCCTTCGGGCAAACAAACATACCCGGTAGTTCAGGTAAAATATTGAGCTTTTTATGATATGGACACAAAAATAGAAATGTGTTTCTGGTTAAATTGTCATTCAGTATCACGGGGAAAAGGTATCAAATTCGAGGAAATGAAAAAAAATCATCTTTTGTGCAACATTTTCTACACACTTATTTTTAACATTAACTAAATACATATAAACGATAATATTTAAAGTGAGCTTTGATTCGTTTTGACTCCTTGTGAAAGCCTAGATGTGGTTAATCACATGTGTCACCCTAGATCTTTATCATTACAATTACGACTCCAACAGGTGGTCAAAAGGTTTCAAAGAAATTATGTTGTTTTTCTATAATATATTTGTGATGAAATCCTTTTTTCACTATACATGCATTTTACTTTTTCAACATTGAAATTCATTATCATTCAAACATTGTTTTGTATAAACTTTTACAATAAACTAAAGTACCAAGGTGAATTGTTTTTTAAGACAAAAGTGAAGCATTGAAGATACACATCACAGTATAAATTTTAAAATGAGTTAATTATGAACTCTGTATGCATATTTTTTGCGAGTTTATTATTTCATATTTCATCTAGGCCGAGAATGTACAAGTTCCTGTTACATTTAATTTCAGTCACAACACTAACACATTCCTATACATATAAACATTATGCTCCATAAACCGGTACATCAGTTTAACTGAGGAAAATTAACAAATGTAGACAAAAAAATTCAGTCTCCCTACTTATTCAGAATTATCAAAACATACACATAATTACAAGTACCCTAAATTTGAATGTACATAGAAAAGGAGAGAAAAAAACAATCACTAAAATTTAGCAATGTAATAAAACAAAAATAACGTTGATGAAAAAATAATTTCCCAACATCTTCTTAATAGGGGTTACAAAAATTATTATCTTATTTTTCAGAACCAAAGCTATGACTTCCTTTTATGAATATTCATCAAATGTCAAACTTTCGAGAAAACATCAGCTCAATCAGATTGAATACCAATTCATCACATTGCATATCCCCCAATCATATGAATATTCATGACCTTTTTCGGTAATCTCCCTCTATGAATATGCATCATTTGATGATATATTTACATACTGGTACATATAAATACATGCAATTGGAATAATCATATTACAGGTTTAATATACATATATATGTGTCCAATATGATGTAAGGGAGATAATCAAACACGATTTTATATCTGATGGTCAAATCCAAATGATTTCTGCCTTATACAACATCAAACATTATAAAATATATTTATAACGTCATAAAATGTTTATTCAAACTTAACAAGTCACAAATATGAATAGGCCAACAAACTACATGCTATATGTACAAAGTTTGTACAAGTGTTCCCGATATTTTACAGGTAACAGTAAGTGTAAGTCAAATATTTAGTGTGATAAGAACATTGTATCATTGGACACTCTTGTGTGTAATAATTTTCTACTTTTTGACTCTTTCAAGCTATTTTAACAATATTTTGGTTTGACGTTTGAGAAAAATATGTTTTTCTTGGAAGGAAATGTCATAAAAATATTAGTGGTACTCTAATGTTAATAGAAATGGCACAACTCTAAATTATAAAAAAAATATTATTTGATAATTTCATTATTTAAACTTCAACTAAAGTTTCTAATATAAACATTGTACATGATGATTCACATGTTAGAAAAATAAGGTGGGATTGTATCAGAGAAAGTTAGTTATAAAAACTTATCTTTAAATCAGAGTTAAAATATTTATCCAACAGCAAAATTATCATCCAGGCACAATATCAAAAACAAATATGTATTTGAATAAAAGTTATCCCGATTATTTTAGCAGAATATGTTGAGTTCGACAAAATATAAGATACTAACATCATGCGGAAAACAATGTATTATGATAATGATCAGGTGTTACATTCCACAATGAAAAATGCTATGAAGTTTCACTAACCATAAAATAATTTGTTCTTAGCAGCTCATTTCAAAAACTATAAAAATATTTTCAGAGCACACACATAAATTATATAACTGAATAAAGCTACAATTTATAATGTATTTAGAAAAAATAATTGTATTCAGATTTTAAGGAACAATCTATTTTAACAGTCTTCAATAATAACGAGTATATATGTTTATAAATTTCACAACAATAGATTCAATGTTTGTTTTAAATCAAATGTCTTATAACAATATTTTGGTTTTAATACTTAATACTATATCTACAACCTGAAAGTACTGGGTTATAATGGATTATAGCTACACTGAAGTTAAAAAGAAAGCTACTTGGTCTGTCGTAAACGTGGTTCAAGAATAATAATATCCCTTTAAGGCTGCATAGAAAAACACACTTAAATGTATAATTTGTTGTCAGGTTGAGATTCTGGCAAAAAAATCTTCATAAAAAAATCTAAAAATCACAAGTTAACCCCTTTTCCTTTGAATTATATACAGTAACATACAAATTGTCTCCAGAAAATTCTGCATATCAAATATGTGTTTCCTGTGCTTTCTGATAAACAGAACTCTGAAACACACAATGGTAGAGTTTGTTGATTGATGTCAGTAAATGGGCAAATACTCCTCCTTTGTATCAGACTATTTTCTAGGAGATAAAACCTGTATTTGTCATCAGAATAGCGTATTGGTGGCGTTTGTGGCATTATCATTGCCACGTCTTGCCTTCATTACTGTCTCCGCTGTATAAAGTGCTTCCTTGGCCAAGAAATTTTCTCTCAGCATCTGGAGCTTCACAGATCCTGGCATGTCTGGGATGAGGTACATCACCAACCAGGTTGCCAATATAATCAAGTTCTGTAAATCAAGGTGAAATACAGAGAATTAAAACTTCTGAAAATTTCAAGTGAATTCAATGAAAAAATGGTCATTATGTCAAAAGTTTTACATTTTAACGAACTGGAATTGAACTGCAGATATTTAAACACATACGCCTTTAATAACTTTAAAGCTAGAAAATGACATTTGATGCCTCCATGGTAAGGTAATAGAACAGTTTGAATTTTTAATAACTTTCTATATATAATACAAAGTACTTTGATTTAAGCTCCCAGTAATGACTCAATGACAGTTTTATCATACACAGACAATTCAGTTAAATATTTATGTCTTTCTTTATTTTATGCTCTTTAAAATCATATAGAGCGATGATGAAAATTTTCTATTGGTGACAATAACCTTTGCCTTGACCTTGAGACTATGAAACCTGAGATGTTTGTATACTCGCGATCGACCATTGTATAAAGCGTGATATCAAATAATGGACAGGATGGACATAGCAAATACTGTACACCTACCATCCCCCTAAATAAAAACTTGGAGGCATAAAAACTAACTTTTTTTCTTGCTTTTCTCCCCCATTAGACATGATATCCACACTTCTGATGAGGGAAACATTTTTCTGTCTTACCCTAGGGTAAGGACATCACATAAACAATGCACTGATGTCACGTCAACAATAGTAGATTACAGAAGAAAACTCATTGGATTTTTTCGAAAACCATGCGACCAACACTTGTGTTTCATGCAGTCACTACTTGTATTGAAACTGAGAGAATTATAATCATTCCTTACCTTGGGAATAAGATAGAAAAATGTCAAACCTCTGGGTAAGATTCTTGAATATCTGGCAGAGACTCTTGAGCTAAACATTTGATTACCCGAGTATCTTAGCCCAGGGGTTAAATCTTTTCTGCCTTACCCCCTAAGTGCAGAAACACGCTATTTGTCTGTTGAAGGAGATGGATTAAGCATACCTCAAACACGACAATGAAAGCCAGCCTGGCGGCCAGGATGTGCCAGTAGACCAGCGTAAATGTGTATTCCTCTCCCGTGCCTACTCCTGCATCTCCTACGTGATTTGTGGCTGGTCGACGGTAGTCGCGGTATCTAGGCAACAGAATAGATCAATCTTCATTGTTTTCATTACTTTCACAGCGAAATAGAAAATTTTCTTCAAAGTTTTTTTTTTTTAAATTATAATAAAAAACAAAATTCTTCACATGAGATTTTTTTTAACTTATATAAATGTTGTCAAAATTTGAAGAAATAAAAGAATACACAATAAATGAGAATTTTTGAATGCAAGTTCAATTCTTATAGTTAGTTTTATTAGGTAAAGATTTTCTGTATCTCTGATCCGCGGCCCTTAACATGTCTTCAGAGAGTCAGAATAAAACACGTCCTTATATCGGGGCATACAAATACAGCCCATTTTTCTTACCTGCAGTATGTCACATTTCCAAAGATATCGAACTGGGGGTCATCCGGTACACTCTTAGCCTGGAAGTCATTTACATTAAAGACTGCCAGACTGAAATTGGCGTAGCCCTTCATTGATTGGTCGGCACTGTAGCCATATCTGTAAACCAGTTTGGGGACAACATGAAGTATTAAAACAAAACTGTTGACTTGTGGAACCGTGCAAAAATAATTACTGTACGGTATATTTAAAAAGGCTCTTAATAAAAAATGCACAAATATTAGATAATTAGAAATTATATTCTTGATTTTGAAATCGTTATCAACAAATTTTGGCCAAATATATGAGGAATTCGTACTCGGATTGTTTTCTTAATTTGTTAAAAACTCAGTTTTCAACCTTTTGAAATTTAATGCCTAATGCTGATTTGAGTATATACAGTTTAAAAACTCCCAAATGCATTAGTCAATGTATTTTAGATGTTTTCATGTCTTCAGTGCCTGCACATAGTAGCCACAAAATTTCATGCATACCTATGTCCTGTGCCCGCACTGCCATTGGTCACTTCCACTGGTCACTTCCACTGCGTAACAAATTTGTAAGCATCCAATCGGCAAAGATGTTGTTGATCAGAGCAAATAAAGGAGCTTATGGAAAAGCAGCCACGAAAATAGTGACAAATCCATACTGGATCACCTGTCAAAGGAACAGAATTTATAATTAAACAGACACAGACATCTATCAGGGCTATAAGTACAGAAAGTCCTGAAACAATTATTAAGGGGATTGGGTGGTGCAGTGGATAGTGCACTCGTCTTTCACTTAGACAGCTGGGTTTGGGTTCCCCTGATTGGAGGTGCAAAGGTATTCGTTCACCTGCCCCACCATGTACTCTGGTTAAATCCTCCAACATTAAGACCCCATGCAAACATGCTACCATCTAGACTAATAAAATATATTACCTGTAACTGAGCGAGATCGGGTAATCTTAGTTGAAGGCTAAGATTCTGTAACATAATCCCAATTAAGGCGTAAGCCGAGGTTGGGATGTTACAGAATCTTAGCCCGAAACAGAGATAAACCGGTCTCGCTCAGTTATTACAGGTTATAGATCTTTTTCTCACACCTTTTAGTTCTAAAAAACTACTCAATTTTGCTAAAGATTACAAGTATCCCGTCTGGGGCCTCAACTTACTATGGCCTCTACACTATTAAAGCTACATTTGAATGCTTCCACATAAAAATGTAGTCCGAACTCACAAAGAAGACGTATTTCACAGTGTAGATCAGATATCTAATTAAATTACGTACATCATAACAATACATATAACGACAAATTAGAAATGGTATAATGCAGATTGTCAATTTCGAGCTGTTAACATGTGGATGAATACAATGTAAAAACTCTGTGAGATGTCACGTAAAGGTACCAGACGGATCAGGCAAGATAGAAAAATCTAGCATGGAGTGTGACGTGGGATATCTCTGTCTGAGGTGCGAGAACAACAAAAGTAATATATTTCGGTTGATAAAACTGATTTCATATTTGTTGTAAAATAGATAACGTTTAATTCATTTTAAAACATTGATCATCATCCGCACTGTCCTTATAAGTGAATCAATTTTTAAACAGGGAACATAAGGCTTTGATCGGCATCAAGTAACAGTTTGCTTGTCAAACTCTAAATAATACAAAACACTCAAGTTGTAGGCACTGATATCTTGTACAGTTCTGTATGATTTGACATTTAAGTACTTCCAAGAAATTGTTATTCAAACTATATTTTCACATCCAAACAATACCTTTTACAAAACTACATGTAACACAATTTGAGCCGAAACCATAGCAAAGTTATGGGTATTCGTGGACATCAGGAAGTTATTACATGGTGATCCAAACTTGTCTTGTAATGATAATACACAGAAATCTTTAATCAGGTGCATAGGTATATCATTGGAACAGGTAGATTTTAGGTGACTGCATGGGTTTCCATTTCACTTCACTTCATCATCATCACCAAATCAAATTTACTTTTTTTATTTTGTGGTACAGGAATGCTTAGAGATAGTTAACAGGAGAATTATGTATTTAGGGCACATGCTTTTTTTAAAATTTTAAGCAATGGTGCGGGATCCTTTAAGTTATTTAAATAGAGAATATATGTACATACTGACCCCAAAAACAATAATTTACAATATCTGGCTGTGGTACAGGGATCCTTGAAATTGTTTAACTAGAGAATCCATCACCAACATGTTCAAGGATACATACATGTACACACTGTCAAGGTCATCCATGATGCTCGTAAAGAAGTAGGAAATTATATTGACAAGAACCTAACAATGAATTACTCTGTGTGGCAAAACACATGTACATGCATTGTGAAAATTAATACAAAAAAAAAGAGTCAACATCATTTCAAAATAATTGGTTGGTTTTTTTTTTAATTACATTTTCTTTTACATTTTTATGCTTGAATATTTTCACATTACAATGTACATTTATTTTATTTTCAATTTTTAACATAATAACACAAGACAAACAATACTAATGCCAAACAGTGGATATTAATTGACTCAAAGTTAAAAATGCCAGAAAAGCTTTCTACAGCTTACAATCTAAGGGAGACAATTCTCTATTTCTAACAACTACTCCAAACCGTATTCCAGTAAGTGTTATTAATTAAATTGAATAGTTCTGATATTTCAAAATAACAAATTTAAACTATTGACTTACATTACCTTATTTGTAAAAAAACCTTCTGCATTAAAACAATTTTTGGCAGCACAGATTATCCAAGATAATTTAAACTTACAAGTCCTTTGTCAAAGCTGTTTGTGTTGTGCACCTTTCAAAAGTGTCTTCAATTCTTGTGTACTTATAAATATGTCATCAATGTTTGTGTACCTATAAATATGTCATCAATTCTTGTGTACCTATAAATATGTCATCAATGTTTGTGTACCTATAAATATGTCATCAATGTTTGCGGTACCTATAAATATGTCATCAATGTTTGCGTACCTTTCAAATATGTCATTGATGCTGGAAGACTTTGTGAGGACATTTTCCCGCAGACTTTGGGCCAGGTCAGATTTTGTTCCTACTACAAGATGGGGATTTGGTTCCCAGCAAACTGTTTCGGGTCATATTCATACCTTAAGCCGAGGAAACGTTGTTAAGTACATAAGAGTGTGTACAACGATCGTGTTTCAACAAAGAAATATGATATACAATTTTTTTTTTACATGAGTGTTCATTTGCACATGACATTTATGAAACAAGACTACTATTTTTTCATCTTTTTAAACTTCTAACAAATAAATTGAAATATTTGTGACCAATTTCATAAATCTCATATAAAATAGATCATTATAAAACTGTACTTTATATCTAGAAAACTGGCTTCAATGATTCTAGAATTCTGAAACTCAATCCTTGTTTCATTCAATAAGGAATATTTGCATTTTCAATATCTTTTGTAACCAATAATAAAATTATCACAAAATTGTCAGAATTTGTACATTTCAACAATCAGATCAATATTATTGAGTCAATATCATGAGAAACAATCTAAATAACATGAACAGCTGTCAAGTTTTTGATTTGTTATTGCCTCAGTATCACTGTTGCTCTGATATGACGATAGCCTCTACTTTGAGAAAGCAATATTCCATGTTTTGATTTAAATGTATACATATCAAAAAATGTTTTCAATCATTTCACCATAGCTTTTTTCTGCATATTTATATATTTTTTTAAGCATAAGACTAATTTTTTTTTCAATATATTTCAATATTTTTTTAGCATAAGACTGAGTTTTTTTCCTTAGTCAGACTGTCTGTATCATTTATATTTTTTTTCGTTTCTTAGAAAATCTTCAACAATATTTCTGTAATCATTTCAGTGCCTTACCCATTGTTGTCCTTGGGGTTGTCACAGTTTAGAACCTCCTGTAACCATTTTCGTAGATTATGATGTGACTTTCTGTTCGTCAGGTTATGGACAAGAATGTTACCTGCAGAAATTGAAACGTTTTTTTCTTTAAGACAAAGCATGACATACTTAATTATGAATCCCTGACCTACTGCAGGCAAAACACTAGATAAAGTATTTATTTCACAACATCTTCTTTATCATATGCATATATTTTGTAATAGTTCTGGAAAATCTTTGTAATGCACTCTTAAAATTTTAGAGATAAAACTTATACAGCTTACCCTTTCCCATGCAATTATGTTGACAGTTGAATTTGTAATTTTTGTGTTACCGGTATATTTCAAATGAAATATCTTTCTATCAAATAAGAATTGTCTTGTTTCATTTTTCTCAATTTAAAAGGAAATATAAGAATTCATAACTTCATCGACCTTGGAAATGTCCGCAAGATAAGAGTTTCTTCTCAGAAGTGTTTTTGGTGAAGTTTGTTTTTAGCAGTAGTACAGGGATCTTTAAGTAATAAATTAACTTTCATTGACAAAATGAAAAGTGTTCGTTTAATACAACAAAACGAAAGCAACAATAAGCAGCCTTTTTTCTGTTCCAAGCTTTATTGTAAACTTTCAGTAAAAAAAATATCAAAAAAATATATTTTCAACTGATTTGCTGTTTTTTTATGCAACATTTTGACCGTATTTCTTTTTTATTTTGATGAAAATGGAATAAAACATGAAATAAAATATTTTTTTTTGTTCAAGTTTTGCTCCTGAATTACATGTACCAACTTTCTTAATCATCAGTACAGAAACAAATTTAACTGCCCATATAAAAGACTGTTATCTCCTTGCAGAAAATGTTAGTCTCTTATATAAGACAGTATTTTCTTACCATGTACGGGATTATCAAATATTGCACAGCTATTTTCAAGGCTAGTAGATCCACCAACATCCCATAATTCTGCAAAGTAGGTTTTCTGTGAAGGGGTTCCCGCTTTGTACTCATGTAGCTGTTGGAGCAAACAGATTTCTGGACATTTATTTTATACACAGATTCTTATGCAACTTGTAATAACAACATCACACAAAGTTTTGATATGTAACATTGTGTAATGTCACCCTTTGTGACATCACACAGAACATTACAGTGACAATCAAACATGTAAGGCAAAGACAAAAATAGTCCCCTGTTCCTTCAATGTCACAAAATATGCAATCAACATAATTTAAATGAGTCTCAAAATCTCAAACTCGTTCCCATTACATCTTACTTTTATTTAACTCTTGGAAGCTTGTTTCATAAGAAATGATAAGTCATGGGATCTAGATTGAAATTCTCTATTTATAGAAATATTATGAAATACAAATTGAGAAAATATTTCTGGCAGATTTTCAGGTAGATTTCCACAACATACATGTGCTTATTAACTGATAAGTGTGTTATGTGAAAACAATGGATCTTTATCAAGTTTCCACTCCAGACTGGTTGGAAATATTGAATTTAAGGGCCTAAAATGGGGTGTTTCCCTCCTTAATTTATATGAAGAGTTGGCAAGTATGAGAAGGATAGAGAAATCTTGACCTAAGTTGCAGTAGTGGTCTATCTCACCTTGACCTCCACAGAACATCTGATGGTCTAGCCAGGATTACTTGTTGTCTCATTGTGACAAATAAGATGAACTAATGAGGTCTTCCCAACTCCTGCAAATATTTGGAATATATAAGAGAAAGTCAGTGATTTCTGACTATTGTAGCAGATGTTTATGAGAGATCTGACAAAAGCGTGTAGTCTGTTGTTTTATCCTTTCCATGTATACCACGTTGAATATATTACAACTAATCACAAAGCTAGCTATAACAAGGCTGAACACATGAGCCATTAATATAAGTCTGTGTGACATGTAAACCTGGTATATTAGTTTGTACAGTCCACTGGTAATTATCTGTGTGACATGTAAACCTGGTATACTATTTTGTACAGTCCACTGGTAATTATCTGTGTGACATGTAAACCTGGTATACTAGTTTGTACAGTACACTGGTAATTATCAGTGTGACATGTAAACCTGGTATATTAGTTTGTACAGTCCACTGGTAATTATCATATAATTTATGGCAAGCTGTTTTTACTTTCAGTCAGCATTGATAGCTTTGAGCTTATAACATTGTAGTTGTGATTGTTGGGTTTGAGTTTATTTATCATTGTTGGGTTTGAGCTTAATTGTTGGGTTTGAGCTTAGATGTCATTGTACGGTTTGAGCTTAGTTGTCATTGTTTGGTTTGGGCTTAGTAATCATTGTTGGGTTTGAGCTTAATTGTAATTGTTGGGTTTGCGCCAAGTTGTCATTGATTGGTTTGATCTTAGTTGTCATTGTTGGGTTTGAGCTTAGTTGTCTTTGAGTCTAGTTGTCATTGTTGGGTTTGAGGTTATTTATCATTGTTTGGCTTGAGTTTATTCATCATTGTTCGGTTTGAGCTTAGTTGTCATTGTTGGATTTGAGTTTATTTATCATTGTTGGGTTTGAGCTTAGTTGTAATAGTTGCATAGGGTTTGAGCCTAGTTGTCATTGTTGGGTATGAGGTTATTTGTCATTGTTTGGCTTGAGTTTATTTATCATTGTTGGGTTTGAGCTTAGTTGTCATTGTTGGTTTTGAGTTTATTGATCATTGTTGGGTTTGAGCTTAGTTTTAATTGTTGGGTTTGAGCTTAGATGTCATTGTTGAGTTTGAGTTTATTAATCATTGTTGAGTTTGAGCTTAGTTGTAACTGTTGGGTTTGAGCTTAGTTGTCATTGTTGGATTTGAGTTTATTTATCATTGTTGGGTTTGAGCTTAGGTGTCATTGTTGGTTTTGAGTTTATTGATCATTGTTGGGTTTGAGCTTAGTTTTAATTGTTGGGTTTGAGCTTAGTTGTCATTGTTGGTTTTGAGTTTATTGATCATTGTTGGGTTTGAGCTTAGTTTTAATTGTTGGGTTTGAGTTTATTTATCATTGTTGGGTTTGAGCCTAGTTGTAATTGTTGGTTTTAGTTTATTTATCATTCTTGGTTTTAGTTTATTTATCATTCTTGTGTTTTAGTTTATTTATCATTGTTGGCATTGAGTTTAGCTGATATATATATACATCCCATGGGAATATATGACACATGTCTAGATGTTTGAAACTTTAACTCAGTTTTCCCACAGGAGATGGATACTTTCAGAAACACATTAGGATGCAGGCTAGTGGTTTTAAATAATATTTTTCCATGCACTGTGCTGTAGCGGTCTCATAGAAAATAGTGTATGCAAAGGCACAGAACCTGGGCACGTCGTTTAATGTTCCTAGTTGTCATAGTAAAAGTAGCGTCACATATTGCAAACTGACAAAATCAAAGGATAAACATTGTTGGTAAACAATGTGAAGCAAGGGGTTGTTTAATTTTGCTCCAATACATTTATTTGACATTTCCACTCAAAGGTCTCAGAAATGATATGATCAGTCCATTAGGCTATTGTTATTGGTTGGTTGCACAGGAGCCTGAAATTCTGTCAAAAATTAATAATAACAGTAATANGCGTTTATTTCTTTGCCTTTTTATTAAGAAACATATAAACATTTATTTTGTTCCTTATAGTAAGTGCATAGGTTTCTAGTAAATTATTTTAGAAAATTATACAGGACTTAATCAATTTAACAAGAGGCCCAAGTGGGCCTGTATCGCTCACCTGAATATTTAAGCAGTCATAGCAAAAGATTCTCATTAAATATTATATTGCACTAAAATTATTTCCCTCGCAAACTTTGTTGGCTCCATCTGTTAAAACTACGAGCAAAATATTATTATAAGATTCTATGCTTTTTGATTCTTCTTCAGAAGTTGCTCGACATATTTTTCCCTGTGACCTTGTAAGTAGGTCAATGTCATTTTCCTTTTCCAATTGGTTAGCTCTATTCCTTAATCTATTCCTTAAAGCTACTATATTATATACTATAATTGTATGCCTTTTTATTCTTCAGAAGAAGTAGTTTGAACTATTTGACATACTTGATTGCTGTGACCATGAAAGTAAGTCAAGGTCGATTTCATTCACAAACTTTGTTTGGCTCTATCCCAGGAAGCCATCAATCAAATATAAAGATTCTATACCTTCAAGTTCTTCAGAAGAAGTCGTTTGAAGCATTTGACATATTTGACCCCTGTGACCTTGAAAGAAGGTCAAACTAATTTTCATTCTCAAACTTTGTTGGACTCTATCCAAGGAAGCCACCAGCCAGATATAAAGATTCTATACCTTTCAGTTCTTCAGGAGAAGTCGTTGGAAACATTTGACATTTTTTGACCCCTGTGACCTTGAAAGAAGGTCAAACTAATTTTCGTTCTCAAACTTTGTTGGGCTTTATCCCAGGAAGCCACCAGCCAAATATAAAGATTTCATACCTTTGAGTTCTTCAGAAGAAGTTGTTTGAAGTGTTTGATACATTTGACCCCTGTAACCTTGAAAGTAGGTCAAGGTAATTTTCATTCTCAAACTTTGTTGGGCTCTATCCCAGGAAGCCATCAATCAAATATAAAGATTCTATACCTTTCAGTTCTTCAGAAGAAGTCTTTTGAAGCTTTTGACATATATGTCCCCTGTGACCTTGAAAGTAGGTCAAACTAGTTTTCATTCTCAAACTTTGTAGGGCTCTATCCTGGCAGGGCCACCAGCCAAATATAAAGATTTCATACCTTTGAGTTCTTCAGAAGAAGTTGTTTGAAGTGTTTGACACATTTGACCCCTGTAACCTTGAGAGTAGGTCAAGGTAATTTTCATTCTGAAACTTTGTTGGGCTCCATCCCAGGAAGCCATCAGCCAAATATGAAGATTCTATTCCTTCAAGTTCTTCAGAAGGAGTCGTTTGAAGTTTTTGACATATTTGACCCCTGTGACCTTGAAAGTGGGTCAAACTAGTTTTCATTCTCAAACTTTGTTGGGCTCTCTCCCAGGAAGCCACCAGCCAAATATAAAGATTCTATACCTTTCAGTTCTTCAGAAGAAGTCGTTTGAAGTGTTTGACACATTTGACCCCTGTAACCTTGAAAGTAGGTCTAGGTAATTTTTATTCTCAAACTTTGTTGGGCTCCATCCCAGGAAGCCATCAGCCAAATATGAAGATTCTATACCTTTTAGTTCTTCAGAAGAAGTCGTTTGAAGTTTTTGACATATTTGACCCCTGTGACCTTGAAA